TGTATATTTTCGTATTCGATTGTCAGAAAATACTGTATCTTCTTATATATTATTGTATGTTATTGTATGTTATTGTATGTCTATTGTATATTATTGTATATTATTGTATATTTTTGTATATTATTGTATATTATTTTAGATTATTTCATATTATTTTATATTCTTGTAAATTATTGTATATCTGGCATTCTTGAACATCAGTGTATTGTCTTATATTATCTTGCATTTTTTTATAAATTGCATATTGTTGTATATTATTGAATATTATTGTCTATGTTTAGTATTCTTGTATATTACTGCATATTATTGTATTTTTTCGAAAATTGTCTTTTATGATACATTACTCTATATGATTCTATATTATTGTACATTACTCAATATTTTTGCATATGACTGTGCATTATTGCATGTTTTTGTAGGTTACTTCATATTATTGTGCATTATTGTATATTATTGGTATATTATTGCAGGCTATTGTATATTATGGTATATTATTGGATATTGCTGTATATTATTGTATGTTTTTGTATATTGTGTTTTTTTCTATTGAGTTATTAAAAATTACTGGAGATTATTGTAAGTCCTTCTTTGTTAGGTAAAAGTATATTACTGTATATTCTTGTCTCTAATTGCATTTTGTTGTATATAGTTGTGTATTATTGATCTTTTTGTATCTTATTGTGTCGTAATGTAGATTTTGCGAACAATGCTGGCATCATGGGTTTGGAAGGGATTCATGTGCTTTGAAGCAAGCTTGCCCGGCTTAAAAAAAAGCAGCGGGGGGGTGGGGGGGGGGGGGCGCAGCCCCCCCCATTTGTAAACACAATGCTCGCATCATGGGTTTGGAAGGGTTTCATACACTTTGAAGCAAGCTTGCCCGGCTCCACAAGAACAATATAAATATGTGTTGTGTACTATGAATTGGACTATATGACTTTATATATATATATACACATACATGCATACATATGCTTTAATATATTTTATCATATTGTATGATATTATACGATATTATATTATATAAAATTGTATTATGTTATCTTATCTTATCTTATGTCATATTATATTATATTATATTATATTGTGCTATATGTTACTATAGTATATTATATTCTATTGCATTGAGCTATATTATATGTATATTTATGTTTATAATCGTAAAAATTACATCATATCATATTCTATGTTATTGCAATATATTATTGGAATATACTATTGCATTATATGATATGATATGATATTATATTATAATATATTATATACTAAAATTGAGTATATATTAGTATCTTATATTAAGATGCTTTTTATATATTAGCATAGTATTATCTTGTAATATTATTATTTTTTATATTATATACTATATATTATATATATATATAACATGATTATATATATATATCTATATATATATATACATTATATTATATTTTTGTATATTATACTACACTATATTGTTATATACTATATATATTATACTATATTATATTATATGATACTATATTATATATTATATTATACTATATTCAATTATATTATATTATGAAATTATATTATATATTTATATATTATATATTAATATATTACATTATACTATGTTTATATAGACATACATATATATATATATATATGTACATATAAATTCTTATGCTGTACTACATAGTAACTATACCATTATCATGATGTCCAAAACAAGTACATCAAGGACCGGGAAACCACGGGACCAGAGGACGAGAGGACCACGGGACCAGAGCACCAAGCGACCAGAGGGCCAGAGGACCAGGGCACCCGAGGACCAGGGGACCAGAGGACCAGGGGACCAGAGGACCAGGGGACCAGGTGACCAGAAGGCCTGGGGCCAACGTTACCAAGGCCACCAAGCCAGGGCCAACGTTAGGAAAGAAAAAAACACCGGGCCCGTACATTTCATTAGTACATAAACAAAACGCTTAGATCGCACGCACAGCACCGCACGCACACACCCCCCCATCCGCCCGCCCACACACGCACATGCGGACATATACACACACAAGCAAAACAAACACACTGACGAACTCTAACACTCAACTTCTTGACACAGCTGAGTGGCCTTCTTCTCCTTCTTCTCCTGCCGTTGGATCGAGGAAAAGGTATACTCTAATTAAACCCTCTTAGAAGAACAAAACACCTTCAGGCCTAGAACACACTCATATCCCATAACATTTGTAGAGCACGAACCCTTTTAGCCTTCATGCTTGTGCACACGTGTCTCGCTGATTTCCCGGGTCCTTCTTCTCCTTCTTCTCGTGGCCATTGGTCTCCATGGCTGTTTGCATCGGGACGCTCCCGCTTCGCGCGGCAAGCGCCGTCCGAGTAGACTATGCAAGAGACAAGTCAAAGGCGTTGGAGTACATGGTCTGGCTCGAAGAATCCACGACCGCTTGTCGTTCCTGGTTGGTTATGAAACTGGTTGTTTTGTTTTTTTTTTAAGCATGCCCTATATTTGCATTAGATTATAACTATCTGTAACTATATACTCATTGCTATGTCTCATGCTACTACATTGTGGGCTTGGGTTTATGGGCTTGGGGGCTTTGGGGGTTTATGGGGCGCCTGCTTTCTGACATCTTGCGTCCGCTTTTTGTTCGTCTGGAAGCTTTGGGCCAAAAGGCAGCGCAGGGTCTGCATCTATCCTTGCAGGTAGGGTTTAGGGTTGAGGGTTTAGGGTTTAGGGTTTAGGGTTTAGGGCCGAGGGTTGAGGGTCTAGGGTTTAGGGTCGAGGGTGGAGGCTGGCAACTACCAGCTGCACCAGCACACTTGTACGGTTCAGGGTCTAGGGTGTGGGGTTTGGGGTGGAGGGTGAATCCTTAAGGGCAACCCTAAATCCTAATCCCTAAGCCCTACATCCCCTAAATCCTAAACCCTAAACCCTAACCCTAAACCCTAAACCCTACTAAACCCGAAACCGGATCTTGAAGCGGCTCGAGGCCTGCTGAAGGCTGATCTCGGCCCTAAACCCTAAACCCTAAACCCTAAACCCTAAACCCTAAACCCCAAACCCTAAACCCTAAACCCTAAATTCCCCCCCCCCCCCCCCGAAATCCCTAACCTCCCAACCCCGAGGAGCCCAAAATGGCGCTGGGCTCTCCGAACTCTGTCGATCTCGTCACCGGTCACGCCCGCCCTGCGGAGTTTAGGGTTTAGGGTTTAGGGTTTAGGGTTTAGGGTTTAGGGTTTAGGGTTTAGGGTTTAGGGTTTAGCGTTTAGGGTTTAGGGTTTAGGGTTTAGGGTGTGGAGTCCGGGTTCAGGTTTCAGGGTTTATAGGGTTTCGGGTTTATAGGGCTTGTAGGGATTATAGGGCGTATAGGGTTTACAGGGTCTACAGGCGTATGGGGTTTATAGGGTTTGCGGGGGTTATAGGGTTTAGGGTTGAGGGGGAGAGTCTGGAAGATCTAGAAAACATGTGCTTTTACGGTTCGGAGTTGTGCTAGGGGGCTTTGCACTGAGGGTGTTGGGAACTAAGCTGACCTAAACCCTAAACCCTAAACCCTAAACCCTAAACCCTAAACCCTAAACCCTAAACGGCTGGCGAGAGCCTCAGGAAGCGCGCAGCGATGTCCAGCACCTCACGTCCCAGCTCGCAAGCCTCAACATCTGAGGGCTGCGAGGCGGTTCGGGTCGAAGCCGACGTCGGGTTTAGGGTTTAGGGTTTAGGGTTTAGGGTTTAGGGTTTAGGGTTTAGGGTTTAGGGTTTAGGGTTTAGGGTTTAGGGTTTCGGGCTGAACCCTTTAAGGGTCCATGTACCTGGATACGGCTTTTTTGGGGCTTTACAGAAGTTCCTACATGAAATCATGTTGAAGCACATGGACCCCTCCTGTAAAGGTATGGTTTGGGATGTGCCCCCTTATACTAGCAGTCCTTGATTGGGACGAAAAAAAGGAGGGGGGGTGCTATAATCCCTGTCAAGGAGTGTTAGAATAAGGGGGACCTTCTAACGTTGCTCGGGTTTTCAGCCGATCATTGCATAGGACGCAGGGATCCCGTCATTGGCGAGTGTTTTCATGGTTCTTGTACATTGTGGTGAAAATCTATATATATATATACATATATATATATACATACATATAGATATGTATATGTAGGGTCCTTCTGGTGATGCTAATAATTACAAACCCCTGCTTCGTATGCCTTCGGGTCTAGGGTCTACCAGGATGTTGGGGGGTCCGGCATGGTAGAGCAACTTCTATGTAGAATTCTAGGGTTGAGGCATTAGATGGTTGAGGTTCACTTTCAATCCAAGCTCACAGGCCCTAAACTCTAGACCCCACACACCGAACCCTAAACCCTGAACTATCGAAACGAAACCCTGAAATCCCAAAACCAAAAACCCCATCGAGTCACAGGGTCTCTGCCCTCGAACGCCACAAAATCCCTAAATCCTATGGTTGTACCTTGCTGATGGGCTTCGGAACTCCAAACCCTAAACCCTAACCCTAAACTCTAATTTAGGGGTCTAATTCAGGGCGCCTATTGAAGCCAAATGTGCGTAGGATAACAGTTGGAATTGCTTAAGCTACTGTACTACCGCTCCTCAAAAGAAAGGACTTGTTGAGACTTCACACAGTCCTTACAACGCCTTACAACCCAAAACCCTAGACTCGAAACGCTTCCCATATACCTAGGGTACGCGACCTTGTACCTTACAAAACGTGCAAGTATCTACCCGACATGGATGGTTCATTCCCTTCTTTCCTAAAGACCACGAGACTCTCGGCGAAGCCTAACCCCAAGGCTCCAAGCTCTAGGGACTCTTATTTTGGGGTTTCTGGGCCCAAAGGCCTGCATATATATATATATATATATTTATTTATTTATTTATATTTATACGTATGTACTTATATATATATATATATGTAGTAGGGTTTATATTTCTTGTATCGCCAAAAGGACACCAAATGTATACACTCACCAATATAAAAAAGGAACCTTATATACACTCACCAAAACAGAAATATAAACCCTGCTTCATATGTATATATATATAAGGTTTTTGGGCCAGTTTGTGCCTAAGAGACATGTCTGCTGGGGGCCAAGGCCCTGCGCATCTTCTGCAAGTCTTCACCTTCCAGAACTGGGATGGTCTTGGTCCTGCTTCACGGGGGAATCGGGGGGGGCTCCTCAACTTAATAGGTTTAGGGTTTAGGGTTTAGGGCTTAAGGGGTTCTGAAGCGAGGGGGGGGTTCAAGGGCGGTAGGAAGCTTAGGGAGTCTTAGGGAGTAGTGGGGAGTGTTAGGGAGTCTTGGGTTTCATACCCCCCTCGAACCCCCCCAACCCTATAATATACCAAACCCTGTATGCCTGTACTGCACATACCCTATGCCCTATGTCCCCCAAGAAAGAGACTGCGACCTTGTGGAAGAACGCAGTAGCCATAGTCGCAAAAGTAGTGGTCGTGGCGGGGTCTGAATCGCAACACAAGTTACAACGGGCATTGCCTCCGCAACTTTCACCCTAAACCCTAAACCCTAAACCCTAAACCCTAAACCCTAAACCCTAAACTCTAAACCCTAAACCCTAAACCCTAAGCCCACAAATTCTGGTGCATCGGGTCCTGCTGCGAAGGAACTCGGACCTGGGGCATGAGAAAGCTGCCCAGAAGAGAAGGGGCCGATTGAGCCAGGGCTTAGCGCTAAACCCTAAACCCTAAACCCTAAACCCTAAACCCTAAACCCTAAACCCTAAACCCTACACCTTTATAAGGTGTCACTTCGTCCTCAAGGGTGAAACCGGATTTTGGGTCTAGGGTTTAGGGTTTAGGGTTTTTTTGGCACAGGCAGCCCTCTTATGCGGAATAGAGGGGGGGGGTGAATTCTATAGGGCTTAATTGCAAGGGTTACAGGGTGTCTCGGGCTTCTAGGGTGCCTGAACACATAGGTGTTTGACACACAAGGCAGATAAGGCTCAGAAGCATTGAACTGTCGGGAACATACGGCCTCTTGGGCAACTAGGGTCTGGGGGCCCTAAGCCCTAACCCCCTGAATCCTAGAGCGGTGCATACAGGGATTGTGTTGAGGGTCCTTTTGCAGAGTTTAGGCCTAAACCCTAAACCCTAAATTGCGGCGGACCCAAGCCCCTCGTAGCCCAAAAGCATGCAGCCCAACAGAGTCCATCATCTTGGCCCTAGGGTTTACGGTTTAGGGTTTAGGGCCCTGGGTCTTCAGGGCTCCGGGTTTAGTGTTTCGCGATAGCGGCTTTCCTTCTCTGCGCGTGTGCCACCCAATACTCCTAGCAGCCTGAACCCTGAATCTCAAACAGCATCCTCCTCCACCCAAAACCCTCAACTCCCTCAACCGCGCAGTCCACCCCAAAAAGGAAAACACTGGCGGAGGCTCCCAGAAAAGCCAAAACCTTGAACCCCTGAAACCTTGAAACCTAAATCCTAAAATGTAAGGGATTAGGGTTAGGGTTTTTTAAGGTTTAGAGAGAACCACAAGAGGAGACTGCCTTGGTAGTCCTTTCGGGTGAAGCGCATAATCAGGGAGACAGCTGCAACCCTGGCGGTCAGCAAGGGTAGGGTTGGGGGCTTAGGATTTTAACATGTTTGGGTCCTTAAGGGAGGGGGTTCATGGGGGTGTGTAACCAAAACGTTCCCTAATACTCCCTACTACTCCCTAAGGCTCCCCAAGCCTCACTTAGGTTTCTTTAGGTTCCCTAGGTACCCCAAAACCCTAAACCCCATGAACCTCCCTCCCTTGAGGACCCTAGAATGGTACCCTAAGCCCTACACCCTAAACCGCAAACCCTAAACCCCATGAACCCCCCTTTGTTACGGACCCTAGAATAAAACTAGGTTTTTAGGGTATGAGGATTTAGGGGTTTTGGAGTCTAGAAGTGTGGTGTTCTGGGGCTCAAAGCTTGATAGGGCTTAGGCTTGGGTTTTGGGTTTAGGGTTAAGGGTTAATTGAGGGTTTAGGGTTTCGGGGTACCTTTAGAAGCTACTGTCATGCACAGCTGTGCTTTTTGTTTTTCTTTTTGTGTTTTTTTTCGGAGGGGGTGGGGGGCAGTGGGGGGGGGGGGGGGTGGACCTGTTGGCTTGAGAGATTGGGGGGGTTTTGGTGATGCTGGGCTTGCGTCTTTAGGAGTATGATCCCGAAGCGACAAACCCTAAACCCAAAAGAATCCCGAAGTCCTATCTGGAAACCCTGAACCCCAAACCCCAAACCCTAAACCCTAAACCTGAAGACATCCCAAACCCAGGCAGTACAAACCCCCAAACATGCCCCGTTCAGGGTTTAGGATTTAGGGTGGATAGTTAAGAGGGCTT